TGCAAGCATTAATCATTAATCATACCCATTAACCATGAATCCTTTATAAAACATCATAAGACTATAATATAAGGTGATCAGGATCATTCTCAAAAAACTTGACCAGTCATTGAATTATGTCAACCTCGACCTTGACTCTGTGCCGACTGCTGCACATCCGCGAATTGGGATCACTTGTGACGCCACTTCTGACACTTGGCCATGAGTTGACACCACCACTCCACAGCCGAAGACCATGTCCGCAAGTTACGGCTATTTCAGTCAGTTAGTTAGTTAGTTAGTTAGTTAGTTCGTTAGTTAGTTATTTAATTTAATTAGTTGGGTAGTTAGTTAGTCAGTTAGTGAGCTAGACTCAATTCGATTCGCTAGCTACACAGCTACTCCTATTCCACTGGTGGCATCGAACACACAAGTGACACAGGGTGCTGCCACTGCCGGCTTGCCACAGAGCAGCCGGTAGTACCGGTAGTAGTGTTTGTGACTGCAGCTACAGAACCCTTCGGACCTATTGACCCATTGACATTGATACTCTAAGACTCTAAGACTCTAAGCCTCTAAGCTTTCATCTAAAGTCCAACCAGCTGGGCCTGACTACAACTGGTGACTGGGCTCCACTCAGGAAACTGGAAACTAAACTAGTGACTAATGACTAGATCATTAGATTATTAACTAAATACCATTAGCAGTAGCATTACGATCTAATATTGGAACATAACCTCAAACTCAAACCAAACCTGCGACTTAACCCAACCAGCGGGACTACGCCTACGCCCGACTACCTGCTGCTGACCCATGTGACTACCTGCCAGTGGCACCCTAATTTCTCCGAATAGGCTCCAACAAAAATCACTGCTGACTGCTGAAAGCACCACAACAGTCCGGAACGTCAACGGTGTCATGGGGCCACACTGCTCAATCAGGATCGGTCCTGGGTCCTAGGTCCTGGTTTTAAGTCGTACCTAGACTCTAGACACTTCAGCCCTAGCCCTAGCCCCAGTCCTAATCTCATCTCCAAAAAACAGGAAAACAGGCTGACACCGCGACAAATCTTTCCAGGCTTCTAGGCCTCGTCTAGTCTAGTCGAGTCTAGTACCCCCGACCTCCGTGATGGCTGCACGCCGGACCTACCTACATCAAGCTGCTATTTATCTGCTAAGCCTAAGCTGCTAATCAAATCATCTAATCCCTCCTTATCAAGCAACACCAGCCACACGAGCAAGGGCCCCACATTCACCTGTGAT